CCTGCTGAGCTTTTTCTACAAAAAAAGCCCTGCACCTATTTATTTATTGGAGCATTTTTTATTTCTTTATAATATTGGCATACTCCGTATTGTGATTTCTGCTGATCCTTGACCGCATTAATAAACTAACTACATAAAAACAACTCATTAAAATCAATAATTTAAAACTGCCAGTAGGCAGAAGACTACATGGCAACCGAAAGAGGAACTGACCTCTATCATCCGGAGATCAGTTGCAATTCCAGAACTCCAGGCTCCCCCTGGAGATTGGCAAGCCCATCCCAGCTCCTTTCAGTCCTGCTGGCAGTCACGTGACTAAAACGGTGTGTGAGAAAGTCACGTTCCTTCCCCTTCACACAATACTGTGTCAGCACTGCCAGTTTCAGTTGCTGGCTCTCAAGTGGGGTTGCCAGCTCCGGGTTGGGAAACACCCAGAGATTTTGGGGGTGGAGCCCAGGGAGGGTGGGGTTTGGGTGGGGTGGGACCTCAGTGGGGCACAATGCCACAGAGTCCACCCTCCAAAGCATCCATTTTCTCCAGGGGAACTGATCTCTTTAGTCTGGAGATGAGCTGTAATTCCAGAGCAGGCCCGTAGCCAGGATTTTTTAAATTCGGGGGGCCTTTAAATAAGTCAGGGGGGCACCCCGCACAGACACCCCCACCCCCACACATACACCCAGGGAGCGCCACAGATAAAATAAAAAATTGGAAGTCGGGGGGGGGCTGGGGGCTGGATGGGAAGTCGGGGGCTTTGGCAGTAAGTCAGGGGGCCATGCCCCAAGATGCCCCATTGTAGCTATGGGCCTGTCCCGGGGGATCCCCAGGTCCCACCTGGAGGCTGGCACCCCTAGAGGTCAGCATCCCTATCTTCCCACAGCGCTCTCTCCCTGACCGCACCGCCTCACCCTTGTCCGGCTCTGGATCAGTTTCAGGCAGGGAGTCCTCGGCCTCCGCCAGGCGGGACACCTTCCGGTTCCACTCCCTCACGATGAGGGCCTTCACCTGGTGGCTGAGCTGCGTGGAGTCCGGGTGCTTCTGCTGGATGTGGCGCTTGATGGTGCTCATCTTGAGGGTGGCCAGGGCACTGCCGCACACCATGCAGACCAGCCCGTGGCGCAGGCCGTTGTAGTCCATCAGGTACTCCCCCCCCCAGTGCTCCTGGAAGTAACGCCGGTGGTCCCTGCCGCGGGGAGGGGCGGGCGGGCCACTCCCTTCCGAGTCCCAGGGACCGGCCTCTTCAGACCCTTCCTCGCCAGCGGGGGGGTCAGGAGACAGCGACGGATCGGCTTCTTTCATGCTCAGATCCTGAGGGGCTTCCTCGGCATCTGCCTCTGGGTGGGGGAGTGGACAAGATGGATATTAAGGCCTGGAATAGATACTCTGAGGTCTTACAGTGCCCAAAATTAGGGGGGGGGGAGACTGATGGCCGTAAATGAAACCCACAAATAAAAGTGACACAGATACCTTGGCCAAGGGGTGTCAAAAAAGCGGCCCGGGGGCCAGATTAGGCCCCCAGAGTGCTTCTATCAGGCCCGCAGTGGAACTGGCTGTCTTCTGCTTCTTCTTCCAGTTCTGCTGCTGCTGCGTCATCATAGATTTGCAGCTTACAGATACAGACCTGAACAGCATACTCAAGATTGCCACAGCATGGACATTTTGATGCAATAATTCAGAGCAAGAGTTGTCAGTTATCAGTCACTGTTAAATAAACAACATATTGCAAGAGTGCTAATGTTTTAAGCATGTTTTTATATTTTAAGTTTTAAAAACCCTTTGTGTTTGTGTCCTTTATAAAGTTTATATCTCCGCTACCTGGCATTACATTTTATGACGCACATGGCCCAGCCCGACAAGGTCTCATTTATGTCAGATCTGGCCCTCATAACTAGGGTTGCCAGGTCCTTACTGCATGTAGAGCGGGAGACTCCAGCGCTGTTCTGGGAGTCCGTGTGCGTGCGTGAAGCGCGCGCTGCAACCACACCGGGTACACCAGGGGCGGGGCCACAATAATTCGAGGGAAAACCATAGAGTTTTCCCTCGGATGACTGCGGCCCCGCCCCCAACGCGCCCAACACGACTGCGTCTCTTCTGGGTGACGTGCTGACGCCCGGCACGTCACGTGCTTTGGGGGTGGGGTTCCCCCGGGGCCCGATCCGCCAGCAGCGGGTAACAGGCCTCTCAGTCGGGGGTTTCCCCGCCCCCCGGGGGGACTTGGCAAGCAAATGAGTTCGACACCCCTGCTCTAACAGTTCCTATTCACCAAGAACCATCCCTATTTTCTGCAAGATTTAAAGGGTACTCCAGCTGATCTGTGGGCCACATGCTCCCACCAATCAGCTGGAGGGCTCTTTAAATCTCATAGGAGGGTAGGAAGAGGAGTGGCCATGGTTGAGGTGTGGCTTGGAGGTGGGGCTTCTACTGCTGGCCAGCTGGCTGGTGGCGGGCAGGAGCCCCCGAATTTGGGGGATCCTCCGCCCCCACCTGGGGGCTGGCATCCCTTTAGTAATTGTTTGAAATAGTCAGTCGAGAAATATGTCCTCTTTCTTGCTTTTCAAAATATGGTAACGCGATATGATGTTAGAATTGGGATGTTACTAGGGTTGGGAAATTCCTGGTGGTTTTGGGGGTGGAACCTGAGGAGGGTGGGTCTTGGGGAGGGGCGGTACTTCAGTGGGGTATCAATGCCATAGACTCCACCTTCCAGAGTGGCTATTTTCTCCAGGGGAACTGATCTCTGTAGCGTGGAGATCAGTTGTAATTCCAGGAGATCTGCAGGTCCCACTTGGAGGTTGGCAGCCCTAGGGGTTCCATTCCGAGTCCTGTTTTCATCTGTGGCACTTTAGAGGGTATGGTGTTACGAACCTAATGTTCCCTCTAAGCTGTGGAGTCTTGTGAGCAAAAATTCTACTTTTTAAGCTACTGGCATTAAAGTTGTGAGCAAGCAATTTGGCTCCTGCATAAATTAGTTTGCTCTGGAGCCCTCCTTCCTGAGCGAAGACAAAAATCTGTGAGCCAGAGGCTAAAAAACTGTGAGCTAGCTCACACTAACTCAGCTTACAGGGAACACTGATAAGAACCCTTCTGGGTTTTTTTGTGTTTTTAGTAACTGCCAATTTATGTTTTTATCTGTGAGATTATTTTAGCATGTTGTATTTGGGAATTTTTCCTCCCTCTGGGTCCTGTCAAGGGTCCTCCTGTGATTAAAACAAACAAATATTCTCCTGTGTGGAAATCGGTCTAACAGATTTCAATATGGCGTAGGGATACCATTCCCTAGGTGGGGGCAGGGATCCCCTGTTTTCGTGGGTTCCTGCCTACCGCCAACCAGCTGGCTGGAAGGAGGAAATTCCCCACCACCACCCCTGAAGCATGCACGACACACTGACATCACCCGGAAGTGCCATCGTTGTTGTCGGCGGGGAGGTGACGCTCTGTACTTTGGGTAAAACTCTATGGTGTGAGGCCATTTTTACCAAAGAGCTTTGCCCAAAAAACAGAGCATCACCCCTGACATCGGCAACACGCTGATGTCACTTCCAAGTTATGTCAGTGTGCCGCATGCCATCCCCGCCCACCCCTGGAACACCCTCCAAATCCCCCCACCAGCACGACAAAGGCACCTGGCAACCCGAATATGGTGTCTTCCATCCACATCGGGATCTGAATGTCCAGCAACCAACCTGCCACCTCCTTCCCTTCCCTCCCCCCTTCAGCCCTTCCCGTCTCACCCTCAGCTGCTGCTTCTCCTCTCGCGTCCTTGGCAACCAGCGCCAATGCACGGGCGTTCCAGGCCTCGAGGATGGCGGCTTTCTCCGCAGGGCTGAAGCTGAGGGAACTGGGGTGAGCCTCCATCACGTGCCGCTTGATGTCCTCCAGGTTGAGGCTGGGCAAGGAAGAGCCGCACATCATGCAGAAGAGCCGGTTGCCCTGCGGGTCGTAGTCCATGAGGAATTCCGACTGGAACCAGCTCTGCAGGGACTCCTTCAGGTACCGCTCCAGGTTCCGGGCCTCCCCCACCGAGGAGCCTTTCAAGGCCAAGCCAGGGGACCGGCAGGCCCCGCGAGAAGATAGGGGGCCTGGGCCACGCCGCCTCCTGCGACCAGTGCCCAGCGGTAATTCTCCTGCAGGGGAGGCAGGCGGAGACAGCATCACACCTAGGGTCGTCTGCCTCCAGGTGGGGCCTGGCGATCTCACAGGATTAGAACTCATCTCCAGGCAACAGAGATCAGTTCCCCTGCAGAAAATGACTGCTTTGGAGGGTGGGCTCTGCGGCACTGCACCCCACTGAGGTCCCCTCCCTCTCCGGGCTCTACCCCCTGTATTCTCCAACTATTTCCCAACCCAGAGTTGGCAACCCTTCTCCTCCTTGCAGGGATTATGGACTTCCCGGGAGGTCTCTGGATAGCCAGGATGCTTGGCTAGATGAAGCCATGTTCCGGGGGTTGCCAGGCTCCAGGTGGGACCTGGATATCCCCCGGAGTTACAGCTCGTCTCCAAACTACAGAGATTTATTTATTTATTTATTTTCCTCCCCCTGGAGAAAATGGGAGGCTTTGGAGGGTGGGCTCTATGGCACTGTGCACCACGGTGGTCCCTGCCCTCTCCAGGCTCCACCCCCAAATCTCCAGATGTTTCCCAACCTGGATCTGGCAACCCTAGAAGAAGAAGAGATTGGATTTATATCCCACCACTACCCGAAGGAGTCTCAGAGCAGCTTACAATCTCCTTCCCCTCCCCACAACAGACACCCTGGGGTGGGGCCGAGAGGGCTCTTTTGAGAACTGCCCTTGAGAGAACAGTTCTAAGAGAACTTGTGACACCAGCAGCTGCATGTGGAGGAGTGGGGAAACAAACCCAGTTCTCCCAGGTTAGAGTCCACGCTCCTAACCACTAGGGACATGGTGGCTCAGAAGTTAAAGACGCCGAGCTGCAGACCAGAAGGTCTGTAGCGTGGCAGTTTGAGACCCTAGTGCCACGTGATGGCGTGAGCTCCCGTCTCTGGCCCCAGCTCCTGCCAACCTAGCAGTTCGAAAGCAAGAAATTGCAAGTAGATAAATAGGTACCGCTTCGGTGGGAAGGTAACAGCATTCCGTGCGCCTCAGCATTTAGTCATGCCGGCCACATGACCACAGAAACATCTTCGGACAGCGCTGGCTCTTCGGCTTGGAAACGGAGATGAGCACTGCCCCCTAGAGTTGGATTCAACTGGCTTTCGAGCAAGGGAAACCTTTTCTCCTAACCACTATACAAAACTCCCCCCCCATCCCCTGCCAGTAGCCAAGGCGGACCTGGCAACCCTACTCTGAAATACACCCACTGAAGACCCAGAAAGCCAAACCATCCTACCTTGGCCCCCCTGCTGGGCGCTGGATCCCTCGGCGGGCTCCCTGCCTCCCTCCGTCTCAGCCTCCAGCCCCAGGTGGGCATCCCAACTGTTCATGATGCCCTCCTTCTCACGGGCACTCCAGGCCAAGGAGTACGGATGCTTCTGCCGGATGTGTCTCTTGATGGTGCTCAGCTTGAGCGTGGCCAGAGAGCTGCCGCACACCATGCAGATCATGCCGTGCCGTGCCGCGTTGAAATCCATCAGGTACTCGGCCCGCCAGTGCTCGTGGTAGTAGCGCCGATGGTCCCGGCCGGGAATGCGACTCTTGCCAGGCCTCGAGGCCCGTTCCTCACAATGGTCCGAGTATTTCCGCCCTCCGGAAAGAAGGAGAGAAGGGTCTTTTGGGGTCCCCCGCAGCAAGCCATTCCCGGCAGGGTGTAAGGGGCGGCCCACACTCCGCTCAGTGCCGTTTGGTGAATCACAGGCCTCTTCCAGGAACTGGGGCTCTTCTGGAAAGACACAAACACTTGACTTGTAAGGGAGGAGAAAAAAAACAACAGTACTACTAAAACTGGACAAAAGGAGGAGGAGGAGGAGATTGGATTTATACCCCTCCCTTCATTACCTGAAGGAGTCTCAGAGCGGCTCACAATCTCCTTTCCCTTCGCTTCCATGCAACAGACACCCTGTGAGGTAGGTGGGGCTGAGAGAGCTCTTTCGAGGACTGCTCTTGAGAGAACAGCTCTGAAAGAACTTGTAACTAACCCAAGGTCACACCAGCAGCTGCATGAGGAGGAGTGGGGAATCAAACCCGGTTCTCCCAGATCAGAGTCCGCGCTCCTAACCACTACACCAAACTGGCTCTCTTAGTATTTATATCACGCTTAATTCTTAGTATTTATATCACACTTCAGAGCATTCAAAGTAACACACATACATGATCTTATCCACTCTTTACAAAACCCCTGTAAGGTAGATCAGTTTTAATTATCCCTGTATCGCAGAAAAAAAGCCTGAGGCTGAAAGAGAATAACTTGGTTAAGGTGTCCTCATGTGGTTATATGACAGGGGAGATTTGAACCAGGGATTTTTGGGACTTGGAGCGCAGTCAATAGAGAGCCGGTTTGGATAGCAGTCAGGAAGGCATGGGTTCAAATCTGCATTTGGAGGCAAAGTCCACTGGGCGAGTTTTATTTTATATTGGCAGTCTTTGTCTCCCAGCCTAACTAACATACCTC